TGGATGATGATATAGATGGCGAGGCTTTAGACGATGAAGATATAGATGGTGCTCCTATCGACGATTTGGATGGCGCACCCTTAGAGGGAGACGTTGACGGAGAACCAGTAGATCTAGACGGCGATCCTTTCTAGCCCGATTGATATTGCGAAATGTACTTTCGAGAGAATAAAAAGGAATATCTATGGACCAAATAAGTCGTATTTTGGTTATTGTACGGTTTCTCAATTGACGGAGATTGCCTTGCAAACTTTTTGCAGCCACGTCCCCCAAAACATAAACCCAACCACCACTGCGAACTGGGCCTTCCCTAAAAGCACGGTGGATAGCATATTCCAACGCTCTTGAACATTTCGGCTTTGTTAATCCAGGTCACACTAAAAGTCTGCTATGGTCTTGTCAGCGGCAGATCTCCAGGTAAAGTTTTCCAACATTTGGCTATTTGCCCCTCGACACTTCTCTCTAATGCTGAATGGCCATTTTTACCTTTAGAAACAATTGGAAGGTGCTCCAGATCCTTTTCCAGTACTTGGTGAATCATCCCCAAATCCTACCGCGTCTACCTCCAATAGTGCGCCGTTGAACACCGACTCCGAGACCCTATTTCCGTCCCTAGCTACACCCTCGACGTCTAAGGCACCTACGTCGAGCTGGACCGTGCGAGCTGTCAAGCCTGTGTCAACTCCCGTCTACACAGATAGTTTTGCATTGACTGGTATCGATCCTTCAGCCAGCCATACTAAGGACGGAAAGCCCAGATCTCTCGGGGATATTGTCAAGGACATACAGACTAAACACAAAGTTAAAGTTGAAGTCTTTTCTCAACGCACGAGCAATCAGACGACCTTCACGATTACTGGGGCATCTGATGCAAGTGTAGACGCTGCGAAAAGAGCCCTTACAACTAGTCTCAGTCCTGTGGTGAGTACATCTACTTTTGATAATACTCCATGTTCAATATGAAGACAGATCACTCTGGCTGTACAAACTCCAGTCTCGGTTGTAGGCTCTATTGTTGGTCAAAAGGGTGAGTAGGATTGCATTATATTGGCCGCTCATTGACATGCTTTGTAAAGGTGCCAATCTCAAACGGATCCGTGATCTTACGTCTACGAAAATTGATATTCCTCGTCGTGATAATTTGGCCGTTCCCAATGCCAATAGCCAGGATGATTCCCGCTCCCCGAGTCCCTACCCTACGAGCCCGGCAGATGAGAATGAAGCGACTATTCGTATCACTATCACTGGACCTGCATCCATGGCTCATGAAGCTCAGGCAATGATTCAAGCCATCATCACGGAGAAGACCTCTCGTTCGGTTCAAAAGATCAAGATCACTCCGCCTTACGTTTTTCCTTTCGTTCTTAGCCGTCGTGCCGATTTCCTTAAAGTTGCCAACGGGGCCGAGATCAACCTCAATCGGGATGAGAAAACTAAGGAGATCACAGTAAATGGTGATCGTGAGGCCGTTGGAAAAGTCATCGAGAGCATCCGTTCCTGTATGGCATTTTACGAAGGTGATCTGACCTCGGTTAAGATCACATTGCCAAAGAGACAGCATCATCTGCTTACCGGACAAGCCCATGAAGACATTTTCCAAAAGAGTAAATGTAATGCTGTCATCCCAGGCCCTGAGGATCCCAGTGAAGATGTTCAAGTATGGGGAAAGGCTACCAATCTTGGGGCAGGTCTTCAAGCTGTTATGGAAGTAAGTATAGTCTTCTCCGATTTAAGCCACGTTGACAATCCTATTCAAGCTAGCAAACTCACAACATACTCGCTCCCTCCCAATTCCTGGAGGACATCCTCGTCATGTTCTTACCCACTTGCATCGCAGTGGATACGGAAAATCGTTTGGTAACTCTCATCCGAACGTGTCTGTTCACTTCCCTCCTGTTTCTGTTGTCGGCCAAGCGACTATCGACTTTAGCGGTGAACGTGCACCTGTCGACTCGGCGTACAAGGAGCTTGCTGCCCATCTTGCCTTATTGGACGGTGCTACTAGGAACATCCCAGTTGATTACCTCCTCCATAACATTCTGAATGCCAAAGCCGGAAAGCAGTGCGTCTTGTCTGTTGGATTCCGTATTTTGGACACTAATGAACCTTGAAGGCTAAAAAATTACCATGGTTCCAAGAATACCCTGGTATACTTCCCTCCAGAGAGCGATGCCGACTCAAATGTTTTGCTCGTATATGATCCTCTTGCTGCCCAACCGGTGAAGAACAAACAAGCAGTGTTGGCTGAGATTGAAGCAGAAATACTGGGACATGTCGCCGGCTTAGGACAGATCAAGACCGAGACCGTATCTGTGGAAAGGAAATGGCATCCTGCTGTTACCGGGAAGAATGGATCAACCCTCAATGCGTAAGTCAATTCAATGACCTCAAACATTTCCGCATATCCTTACGCATTTATAGTCTCATCGGAGAGGGTCGGGCTTTATCAATCGAAGTTGGAGGGAATGGTCAAGAAGATATCGTGGTGATTCGCGGAACCCCTGCAGAGGTGGACCGAGCTACCAAGGACATCCTCATGATTGTTGAGGAGGCAAAGAACGACGCCACTGCTAGTGCTTATTCCACTGAATTTCATATTCCCCAGCAATTCGTTGCTCGAATTGTTGGGGCCGCTGGTGCAGGTATCCAAAAGTACCGCGAACAACTTGACGTCAAAATCGACATTGATGACGCCCGTGACTCTGGCGAACAAGTCGTCGGGAAGAAGAAGAAGGCACCTTCTACACAGTCCCTTATCCGCGTAAGTAGATCATCAGTCAATCTGAGCTAAGTCTCACAAGCGATTTTCCCAGATTACTGGCCGTAAGCAAAATGCCGAGGAGGCAAAGAAGAGAATCCTTGCTCAGGTGGACAAAATGGTAGCTTATTTCTTTCTATTTTCCTTCATCGTGTGCTTATTTGATCAAAGGCCGATGAAACCACGGAGATCCTGAAGATCCCTCGTCAATACCATTCATCTATCATTGGGCAACAAGGAAAGTATATTCAACGCCTTCAAGACAAGTATGGTGTCAAGATCAACATCGGCAAAGATGCTAGCACAGACGAGGTCCAAATTCGCGGAGGAAAGAAGGGAGTGTCGCAAGCTAAGAATGAAATCCAGGAGGTGCGTCAGGTTTTCTGAATGTTAACCTGATACTAAGTATTTCCTGAAGCTCGTGGAATATGAGAAAGAGAATAACCACACCATCACAGTCGAGGTTTCTTCTCGCTCTATCCCACGCATTTTGGGAGCCAAGGGAGCCAAGATTCACGAGATTATGGCCGACACTACCGCACATATTGACGTGAACGATGGCAATAAAGACAAATCTAAGGGCGCTGATGAAGCAGGCCCGGCCTCTATCACCATTCGAGGCACTAAGAAGGCTGTCGCGGCTGCAAAAGCTGCCGTGCTGGCTATCGCGAATGCAGTTGATGATGAAACTACTGTTGTGCTTCACATTGAGCCTAAATTCCATCGCACCATTATCGGAGGTGGAGGAGTTGGCCTCAAGAATCTTTTGGCTCGTGTCGGTGCTCCTAGTGACCCCAAAGAACAAGCTGGATTGGTTCGATTGTGAGTATTATGCTATCGTGCTTCACTTGGTGTTAATGTCACGTTTAGCCCACAAAATGGCGACGAGGTAACCCTTCGCGGGGAAAGCAAGTTAGTCAAAAAGATCCAGGCAGAAATCGAAAGGGTCGTCGCTGGTCTACGTGAACGTGTGGTGCTCGGTGTTGTCATTCCAGCTCAACAGCACCGAATGCTGATCGGACATGGTGGTCAGCCGCTTATGGAGTTGGAGAAGAGGACCGGTGCTGAAGTACAATTCCCCGGATCCCGCTCCTACAATCAGGTGGCTCCTGCTGAAAATGCAGCTGAGCTGGAAGAAGCTGATCCCAAGAATATCGTCAAAGTTGTCGGGCCCCGTGCAGCTTGTGAAAAGGCGATTGCAGAGCTTTTGGTGAGTACCTAGGCCTATCAGGCAACAAAAAGCTAATATCCAAAAGGAATCGGTTGCAAAAGCTCCAAATCGTGAGAGGAAGGAGCAAAACCGCGAGCGCACGTCTTCTGGTCCTGTCGCAACCGTTCAAGTCCCTTTCAAGCACTATCATCTCCTTCGTCCGACTGGCAATCTTATTCGAGACCTCCGTGCTTCTGGAGCTCAATTCTCCCAAGCCGGGAAACCTAAGCATGAAGGTGATGGAGCGGCCAGCCGTATTGATG